AGGTCAAGCAGTGTAATAACCTTGCATAAATCAGCAGCTAAGATTTATATCTGTACCTGCAGCATCACACTAGTGTGACCTAAAATAAACAGCATGGTGTTTGTATTAGTCATGTAACAAGTGTCTTTCTCAGTTTGGTCACAAGCATTTAATTTAAAATATATCCAGTAAAGAAAAAATTGCTTGGCACTTGGTGTTTCCATTTTAAGTAATCAATTTTAAAATAGAAGCAGTACAGGATATGTTTTATAAGAGGAGCTCTAAAGAGGACAAATTCTTTCATCACTCCGAAATGTCTTTGAGGAGATTTACAGCAGGTGTGGAGGAGAGAGGCTGAGAGGCAGTGTGCTTTGGGCAGCCCCGGGCTGTCCTTCGCTGCTGCCTGCTGCTGAAGCACAGTGGGGACTCTCCCTGCCAGGGCTGTGGACACCCACCCCATGGCTCTGCTCACTTCTTTCTGTTTCTCTGCTTTGAGTATTCCCTGCCCTCCCTGACATAAATTGTCTTTTACGTCTGGGAAGTTCACACTTGCTGTAGGGTGGCAGAGCTGTGATCGAAGGGCTGTCAGGCTGGTGTGCAGGAGGTGAGTTAGATTCCGGCAGGACTAAAAAGCCCCACGTGACAGTGCTGCAGAGTGTACGTGGAAATGGAAAATTAAAGATTTGAGGAACAGTTTGAGGCTCAACAGTCTTAAAGCTTTAAAAATTCCACCTGTCTTATAGGAAGGAATATCGTTTTACAGAAGCACCGTGTTCTTCCTTGGAATTCACCCCTCAAGGCCAGCAAATATCCCACTGGACAGGTGGAATTTTAAGGCTATGTATTGCATTTCTTGAGATGGGTGCGTGTGTATTCTTTGCTTGCTCACCATGCTTTCACATAACATCCTGTACCAGAATACTGTGAACTTGTTTTTAATTTATTGGACACATAGCACCTATTAAAAACATCAGTTTTAAACCAGCACTGTAATATCAGATTTAACAAGCAAGTTGCTGCACTTTTTTTCTCCTGTTGTGTTTGAATGTTGCGTGCTGAAACACACTCAGTCAGCGAACAGCGACAGAAATAGATGTAAAGAGTATCTGAATTTAGCAGTCTCGATTGCCTAGAAGGAGAAAGCCAACTAAGCAAAAATTTTTTATTGTTGATACACAGCGATAGAAGTCAGCAGATTCAGAGTTAAATTTGTGGCCGTTTAGGATAGGACTTCTCACTAGTAAGAGACTAAATTTCCCCTCCCAAAGTAGTTAGTACTTTATGTGTGAGTGGACTGAACAGGTAACTTCTGATGCAAGGTGCGGTTCATGCTGCCTCACTGTATTTATTAAACGTAGCTAATAGAACAGATACCCTTCTATCTTTCTAACTTGTACGAAGTTTTCGTTAGACAAACAACTGCTTTCCTTATAAATACTTCCTTAGAAACGGCTTTCCTTGCTGAGTAACAGGCTTGTCATCGACCTAGAGTATCCAGATGAGAGCTATGAATGGATGTCTAATAGCCTGATTTCTGTCAAAATGGCCTGCCTTTTAAGTCCTTCAAATGCTGACCAGCATGCCAGAGACACGTCATAAATCCTCAATTTATACGCTCCATAAAAACACTTGGCCTATTGCTATAGATCTAAGAGGAGAAGTAGTGTTTTTATTGATCTATTTTTAACAATTGTTTCAGGTGCAGAAGTCCAGATTAGCCATGTAACATCTATAAATACAAGCTTTGCTCAATTTTCTGATCGCTACGAGTCTGAATAAGTAATACAATGTGAGAAGACATGCCAAAAAGTACCATATCGTGTGTGTTAACACTGAAAGTTGTGAATGTAAGAGGGTCAAAGTACAGAATGTTACATATACAGTATGTGTGCAGTTGCATATGCATGTGCATAGGCATGACTTGAGTTCAACAAATATAAATATAATGTCAAAAATTTGACTCTGTGCCATTTGTTTCAGGCAGTTATTTGGCAGAAGACCAAGGTGTCGGATCACAAAATGGCCTGTATGTCAGTTCTGGGAACAGCCGTTATGGGCAGTATGGTACCTTTTCAACACTGCTGTGAAGATCCTGAGGTGAGTTTAAACTTCCTTCTCCCAAATTCACTTACAGCATGTCAACGAAGAGAGCTAAATCAGTATTTGCAAAGAAGGAGGCTTTGAAAAAGAGAATAGTATCTCCAGATTGACATCTGATTAATGCATTTGCATTTATTGCTGTCCTCTCTGTAAAATTAATTGGTTTGGTGGTTGAAAATCCACTCCAAGAATCATCTAGTCAGGACTCATGTGGCACTGATCAAATGGCAGTAAAAACAGTTGTGATGACAAATGCAGAATTGCTGATTGCTCAGAGCTGTCTAATTTGGGATTCCTGGCCCACAGGCAGGTTGTGCTCTGCAGACAGCATTTATATCGTTCTTATCCTCGTGGCCTCTTAGCCTGATACTGTAAAGAATATTCCCTCAATTTCAGTGAGGGACACCTGAGCAGCAAAAGAAACACATACTTAGAAGGCATGTTATACAAAATTTCCACGAAACATATATTTCAAGGAAATACGAGTTAGTTTTCAGAAAATTTAGTGCACTTGGTTTTCTTTGCCCCTGTTGAAATTGGGGGAATTCCCCGTGATACTCTGCTTTGTCTAATATTTTCAAAAAAATTTTTACTCTGCGTCCACTTTTAGTGGAGAATCTTAATAAAGAGAAGTCTTGCTGATCCTCCGAAGTTTCATTTTCCTGTATCTTGTAGTAATGAATCTTGACCAGTTGTGTGGATGAAATGAACCACCATCTGTAAAGTCACAGTGCCGAAGAATGTTTGTAAGAATGCTTGTAGTACGTATATGCAGGGAAATGGGGGGGGGAGGAAAGTTGCTTCTTGTAATTTACAAAGTTTTAGTTGCTTATGTCTGAACAGAACATCCAGAGTTGTTCTTACCTGAATGCAGGCTGGGTGTGCCCCATGGGGCGAGTGCAGGGGGCTCCGAAGGGAAGACATGGGGGTATTTAGAAGGGACTAGCTCGAAGGAGGCACTCAGGTTCTCACATTACCTCTCTGCTATATCATGAGGCATCCATCTTCCTTGAATAGAAGTTGGGGAACATTCCATCTCTCTCTCTGTCTCTAAATAGTGTGTAAAATACCACGTGCATCATTTATAGGTGTATAAGTGATCCATGCATATTGCTCACGCACAAATCTACGTTCAGAAACCATGGACACTGCTAAATTAAGCAGCCCAACACTATGAAATAACAGAATTAAGGCTGTGTGTGTAACCCTTCTCTTTCTCCCTTGCGTGCAGGTGTTGGAATAGGTATTTAATGACAAGGTACATGCTGCGTTTCTAATTCCCGTTACGTCCATGCCTCATTCAGTACACAGATCAGAGGGCTTTTTAATTCTTTTCCTTTCCTACTTGTTCATTGTGTGGTTTCACACTTCTTTACTGCTAAGACTACTCTAAAGACAAAAACTAATGCTGCTATAAATGACTTTCTGTGAGCTGTACCTTACTAACTTTACAGTTAAAACTTCTGCAAGAAGTAATCCAGGGGTTTTAAAGACTGGCCTTCTTCCAAACTTCTCTGTTATGAGCATTGAATGAAACAAGAACACACTTTAAGCTGCCTCCAAAGCATGGAGACTCAGGAGCTACTTGCAAAATAAAAACTAAGAAAATTCATAATTACTCACTTCATACATGTGCAGAACAGCACCTATGCTTTTCACATCCCCATTCTTGCAAACGGATGGATCTATTTTGGCTGACAACTCACACAGGAAATTTTCCTAGTCTCTTACTTTTCTACAGAGGTTAAGTTTGGCAGACACAAAAGCCACTGGGAAAAAAGATAGGTACTTAAAGACATTTTTACTGTCCACTCAACACAGATATATTTGAATACACGCATAAGTTGTCTTTTATTAAAGTATTAACTTTGAAAACAATTGATATAATTTAAAAGCAAAAATTCTGTAGTAGTTTCCAGTTTCTATATTTTTTGTCTTTATACTTCATGTACTTTTGTATATGAAAATCCTAATAATTGACACTAGTTTTAGAAATTGTTACTAACTTCTAATGAGCATACTGATACTCCACGTGGCTTTAAATAGTAACAGCAGTCAGCCATTTCTAAATCTGGCAACTTCTTAAATGAGTTATTTAGAGAGTTTCAGTTTTGTTTTATTGTTGTCTGTATAGGAAAATACTGTTTGAAGGGAAAGACTGGTACAAATATTTGGGAGTTAGAAAAGGAGCTTGAAGTGTAGAGGAGGAACATTCAGGGAGGATGTGCTAAAGTTGCAGAATAAAGTCTAGAAGTGCTGCATGTTGTTTTCTGATAATCATCCAACAGATATTTGACACCTCTTTAACTTGACCAGTGGTGTTTGGTTATGTGCGACGTTGCTGACCAGAACACTCCAGCTTTAGCACAGAATGCTTGTTACAAGGTCAGGAGGGAATAAGGGAGCACATGAGCAGATAGCTGGTGTGACGTAGATGAATGGGCAGAATAGGCCAAATCCCAGGGATTTTAAATTCCGTTTCAAATGCATGATAATTTGGATTTTAGTAAATACAAGCGGTTCTGCCAAAAGCAAAGCTAACGAGGTCTGATTTCTGTGTTCAGCGACCCACCCTGCTACCAGAGCATTCTCCAGATTTTCCTGTATCTTCACAATATCCATCCTCACCATGCCCCAGCGTTCCTTCCCCCCATGAGTTTGGGCACGTGGCAGTGGGGCGATGTGTGGGGCAGTGTGCAGGCTGGTCAGCAGTCAGTGCTTACACGCTGATGGATCCTGGCGTTTGAGAAGCTGCAATTGCCTTTTCCTCAGTAAGGTCATTAACTTGAGGCTCTCCTCTCCAAACAGCTGTCAGTTATCACAGAAATTGTGGAAATATAATATCTTTGGGATTTCTGCTTCTTCATCGGAGGGAATTGAAATCGATCCAACGGTTTCAGAGTTGCTTGGTGGAGGAGGGGGAGGTGATGGGACAGGCAGCACAAGTCTTCAGCCTCGTTTTAACTTAAAAAAAACTAAGCTGAAGAAGCTCAGCAGAAAAATGTTAAAACTTGGAGTTAATGTGGGGTACTCAAATCATGTGATTTTTTTTTTTTTTTGCAAGGGTCCTTGGCTGTGCTGTGTCCTCACAGGTTCTGGTGCGGTCTGTGAATCGTGGGTGCTCAGCACTTGAGAGTCAGATGATTTGGATACAGGTGGCGTAGGTAAATTTAGGTGCCCTGAATAAATGCCCTATGACAGGCTATTTAAGGTGCCCCGAGTGTAGGAAGGGAGGGATTGTGTGTTTTGAGCTTTCCCCTTTGGGGTGTTTCACCGCCGCCTTCACCAGGTTGGGCAGCAGTGCATGCCTTTAGCTTGCACAGGGGTTAGGCTGGCAACCCTACAGTCAGCGAGCCTGAAGCAGGCTGGCGTTGTTCTCTGCAGCTGCAGGCAGCAACCTGGTGCAACTGGCGGCTCAAACACGCGATCTCTCAATAAACTGATCAAGGAGAAGAAATACAAACCAGTCCTCCTCAACCTCATTTTGCTTTTATTTTTTTGTATCATAACTTTCAAGAGGCAATGCACGTGTTTGAATGACTTGGATTCCATACAATTTCATTTTAATATCTCACCTCTAGAAAAACCTTTTTGGAGTTCTCTTTGGAAGACTGTTGTATTGTATTTGTTCTGTCATTGCAGGTAAATCTTTCTGGATTTCTCCCAAAAGCTGGGTCAGACAGTTCTTTGACAAGCCTTTCAAGTTCAGAAAGGAGTTTTGTTTTTATAAATAATCGTCCAGTTCATCAGAAGGAAATACTGAAGGTAACATTCTCTAGCTTTTTATTCAAGGAATAGAAGTGTGACTTCAGGACACAGACACCTATGCAATCTGCACCCTTTTCCACACATAAAATAACTATAGAGTATTTCAGGTGAAGATACTGGCATTTACCACAGAAACCTCTTCCACAAGTCTGGTGCTCCTGGTGCCTCAATTCTATTCCATTTGTTACAGTCACTTACAACCACGGAGCTGGAGGCTGTTTGTCACTGCTTAAAAAAAAAAAAAGTAATGTCAGATACTCTGTGCAAGAAACCAGAATAGTTGAATCCTCCTTTGTATGAGCCCGCAGAAATACACCAGTGCAGTTTTCCATCAGGGAACTTTATGTGGTTTCTTGTAAGAGAGTTCTTCTGAAAAGGAACTTTGAATTTTATCCACTTCTTGCTGTGGGCTTATCAAGCAAATATACATGTTTTCGCTTTAAATTTGTGTATGCATTGAATAAAAATGAAAGTGATAGTGCAGCAGCATTGGCTACAGCTAGGCATTGTGTAGGCAGAATTTGATACTCTTGGGTTTCTCACACTTAACCTTGGAGCAGCCTTGCTGTCCTAATCCTTGCCCTCCCCAGAAGAGAAAATCACGTTCATGCCACAGTGTATGTGCAGGTTTTAAAGTGGAGACAATGAAGTAGTTTTGAGTTGGCAAACAAAGCTGTGTAGATGTAAACCCTGAACTTGCGTTGGTATGTTAAGTGACGAATAAAGGTAATCCATCACCTCGCAGTGTTTGATGTGCCTGGATGCTGGAGCTTAAAGCTCAGCTTGAATCCCATGACATTGATGTTTTTTAACCAGAGCATGGAGGCCAAAATTCAAGGTGGGATTCAGGGTACCATCATACCAAGTAAAAATACATTGCTTTTCACTGAAGGCTGTTCTTGTAGCAGTGCAAGTGATAGTCTGCCACTGCCTTTTTTTTTTCTTTTCCCCAGTTATTTAATATATTTTTTTTGGCCAGGTGAGGATAACAATTCACCTGTAAGAATACATTTTGATTTGGAAAACAACCTATCGATCACTTAGTTTGGTCTCCATGCTATGTGTACTTCAGTGCCAGCTGAGGACAGACTGTGGGAATGTTAAGGTTAAAATAACTTGAAAATATTTAGATAAGTTTAATATTAAACAAAATTTAAGAATTAAAAATTAAGTAAAAAATTTAATCTGCAGTGTCTCCTCAGTTTTTACACTTTAATTTTTTTTTGTCTTGTTAATGTATTCTTTTCTACGCTATGTATGTGTGTTGAAGGATCCCTGATACTAGAGAGAAGTGCGAGGATCTTTATTTGATCATTCTAGTTAACAAGACAACAATTCTGAAACAGCTAAATAATTTTGTCGTTTTTGGGAGGATTGTAGAGAAAATAGTAAGTGCAAGCAGAGTTTGAGGAGAAGCTGTAAATTTATAATTGGGTTAATAAAAGGAACAAATGAATCCTGTTTTGGGAAAAGGACAAGTCTGTGGTGCAAGTGCTGCTTTCTCAGATTTTAGTTTGGCTGAAAGAGCCAACAGTGTAGTTGCATGCTATAGAAGTAGATTTTCTTTAAAAAACAAAAGCAGCATTTATGTTGACTGAGGAAGTGAGTATTGGAGTTGCAGTCCATTCTGGCCGTATCATATCTGTTCTTCCAAGTGAGATCAATACATTCATTCAGAAGGTCAGAGTAGCTACTCGAAGTGTCTTTGAATTGGGTTGGGTTTAGTTTTTTTTTTTTTTAAATTTAGCCATGAAGACGTGGAAACGATCAATAGCTGCCCCTTTGGTGATTATTCCAGCATACGTGCATACCCACGAGGATGTTTTTAGCATTCCTTTAACTTCAGAACAACCTGCCAACAAACCGGCTATGCTTTTGTAATGTCAGATCTTGTTTCTGTGCCTTTGTATCTATTTTATTGCCTTTCTGACATGTCTTTATTAAATCAATCTGTAGTTAATTCGACAGTACTACAGTCTGGTGACGCGCAAGGACTGTACTCGTTTATACCCAGTTTTCTTTTTGAATATTACTGTACCTGCCTCTGCTGTGGATGTGAATTTAACACCTGATAAAACTCAAGTTTTACTGCATTATAAGGTAACTAATGCCTTAAGCTGTTTTTGAGTTGTCAACTTTTTACTTACGTAAGCATAGGAAGGGCTTCTGGGACTACTGAAATATTTGAAGGTAAACAGTGCCACTGAATTTTTTGTTACATGATAGCTTGCCTTTACCACAGGAGGTTTTATCTGAAAAATATTCAACAAGCTAAGTGGAGGATTATACAAAATTCATTTCCCAGTTGATTTCATAGATCATTTTTGTGCTGTCAGATACATATGTATATCATTTGGTTTCCAGATGGCTTGACAGTGAGAGAAGCTAAATGGAATTATGGTGTGTGTCCTTAAATAAATCTCATGCTTAGCTTCGTAATTATACTAAGTAATCACTTTTTATACACTGCATACACTAATTGGGGGGGGTGGGAATTTGAGTGGTGAAAGCAGTCCCATTTATGTATACAGATTATTGTTGACATCACTTAAGTTTCAGGGTATCCTGTTCATACTATCAAGACCTGAAATTTAGACCGTATATGCCCATATTCTAGAGGCTGTGTAGTGATGTATTTCCGTGAACTGATCTTCACTTATTAGCACTTCATATGAGAAATAGCGCCACAGAAATTAAGAAGGCTGCGTAGGTAAGGTGGTTATTCAAAGTGAGCGTAGGTAGTCACACCAGTACGTTAATCTTCTTCTTCACTGAAAGTTCTTGTATTTGTCTATGTTAATCTTGCAAATCTACTGACTGTTAAGCGTCACTTGTATGAAAATTAACACAGCCTTCTCATGTTTGATCTAATTTAAAACATTCCTTTGGCTTTAGAAAAAGGATTGGTTTTTCTTTTTCTTTTTTTTATTTTGTGGGATTTTTCTTTTTTTCATTTCCATCATTTGGTGCAAAGCTGTCTTGGAAGCATGCGCCATAAAAGTACCTGCAAAAACACACTTACATGAAATGGGATGTTAGTGGTGCATCTGGCTTGACTATGAGCTTCTAACTCCAAATGAGGTGGGAATAGCTTTACCTAATACTGGTTTCCTCAGTCAGTGCCCTGTTACAAAGCAAGCAGTTAATCAGTTTTGTGATATCAGAGTAAACCAGTGAAGCAGAATGACTATCACGAAATATTTCAGGCCAAAGGTGTCCAGTTCGGGGTCTTTTTGAGCATGTGTGAATGAGTGAAATGCAATAATTTGTCCAGATTTGTCTGAAAAATACTCTGAATAAGATCACTGTGCTTATTGCTCTGTATTCTCAATATCTGTCAGTTACATTTTCAGGTGTGCTTGTGTGTGTGGCGTTTCTGGTTTGTTTCCTTTTTTTCTTTTTTCCAGGAATCTGTCTTACTTGCTGTTGAAAATGTGTTGAAATCACTGTATGGGCCACTACCTGCTACAGTCCCTGGTGAAAGTAATAAAACAGATGTTACCTCAGAAGACATGTTTGTCCATCGAACAGAACAAACAGATGTGGTTGTTAACGAAATGGGACCATCTGGAAACGATGATCTACATGCTCGTACTTCATTCCTTTCATTCAGCAGTGACGTGCAAAACTGTCAAGCAGGAAAAAACACAGAGATCTGCTTAAATCATCAGACATTTTGTGGTGATAATGTACATAGTTGCCTGGACAAAAGAGAGGTTTCTAAGAGTGATGCTGTTCCAGACAGTTCCTTAAATTTATTGTGTGAGGAGGAACGGAATGGACAGAAGATGACTGATATCCAAAGTAATGGTGTTCCTGTTGACTCCAAGTCTAAAAAAGCCGATGAGCGTCGTTTGAGTTCTGAGAATATTGACGAAATAGAAGAAAATGAGGAGGCCTTAGTCCTTAAAGACTTAGCTGAAATCTCTGCTAATGATTGGAGTATGGGAAATGGATTTAAAAACTCTCTGGGAGACAACCTGGAACCTGTTAAGATTTTGGTTCCTGAAGTTGGAGGAACAGTTAATACGCGAAATGAACGTACTGGTGAACAAAGCAATGATCCACAGATCTCAAATCAAAGCATGAAGAAAAGAAATGTGATAAGTGATAAATTCGGACAGGTGACGGCTTATGACTTAATTAGTAGCAGAATAATAAGGAAACCGAAGTCTGCAATTGGATTTTTCACTCAAGAATGTCGTCCAAGAGCAGTGGAAGAATTTTAATGAAGAGGAAAAAAAGAAGTAAGTTTTCAGGCTGTGGCTTCTTTCTAAATCTGGTAGTTACTAGTGAGTCACCTGCAGTGAATTAAAAAAAATTATAACTTCCCAGTTATTTATGAAAAAATAGAGCAGAAAATGACTTTTCAAGATCAGTGTCAATATCTAGTTGTCATCTTCCGCTGTGTGCAGCCATGCACTGCTGGCTTGAGTTCCTCATTCTGTCACTGTGCCATGCAGCAGTTAGGTCAGGCTTTGCAGAATTGCTATTTCGAGATAACAGGCAAGAAAATGTACTGTTTGCATCCTGCAAACTTCTGTTTTCTAAGGGCTGGCTGCCTGTTGTCACTCACTGTCAATGAAAACCAGCACGGTGATGGATGAGGCATGGTGTAGTTCCTCCAGAGCTTTTCCAACGAACAGTTCTTTTTGTATTGCTACAAAGTGAGAAATTTTTTTTGGATCTTTAGTTCTCAAACATTTGGTAAACTCCTTTCCTCTAAATTTAGTACGTATCCCAAACCAGGCTACCTCAGCATTGTATTTATAAAACCCAATCAAATGACACAAGGAATTTCTTTTCCCCCCTAAACAGCTATTCCAGTGCTGGTTCAGAGTGTGTAGTACAGTTTGAATTTTAATCTTTTTCCATCAAAACCAAATCTCTTCTTAGATTACAATCTGAATAGCTAATTTCCCTGTTTTTCTAAAATGAATTTTCCCTGAGTTTTTGAAATCCATCTGCAAGTAAGGGAAATATTTTAGCCTAATTTGGGGCGGGGGTTGGATTAGTTAAAATATTAGGCAAAGGTTGTCCTTTATGTGGAACTTTTACCATAATACAAGGTGAATTAGAATAACAGATTTTGAGACACTCTAAGACAGTTTAAAAAAAAAAGAAATGCCAAACCTTCCACATCTTGTTTGTGATTTTACGAAACGTAAAACACTGTAGGGCATGACACAAATGAGGAAGATTCTTCACTAGTTCTACATGTGATGATTTGAATGCATATTGTGATTTGTAGCAGAAAGTTTGGGAAAGGAAGTTTTGGTTCTGAAGAACAAACTCATTGGAAGTGTTGTGAAAATGTGTTTTCTTCACGTTATGGAAGCAAGGAGAGGGAATTAAGAAAGACCACTGCAAAGGAAATTATATTAGCCAAAACAGTGTGATTTTAACACTAATGAGAGATTCCATTAGGAGAATGGTAAGAAAGGAAAGCTATACCTATTGAATTACTATTAATATATCTGTTTTTTCCTTGACTTCTTGACTTGGTTTGTTTGAAAACATCTGCATTGTTCTGAATACCATCATACCTTTTTAATCTAGCTTCTGATTTAGCTGACTTAAAGCTCACTAAGCAAGCAACGTGCTGTGATCACAAAACCATACGTGTGAGAAAGTGTTTTGTCCATCTCCGCGTTAGCAGAAATATAAATGTAACAGTAGAAATCTACTCCACTTATATTAATGCTTTTAATGAAACGAAACAAAAGGTTCTGCCAGCTGTTTCAGAAAATTTTAATGTGCTCTGCTTTAGCTTTTGAGATTTCATGGTTGCTTTCCTGGTACAACTGTTATGTTTAAGAGTGTGCCTACAGATTAACTTTGTATTAGTTCAAGGAGGAGACCTCTCTGGTAATGAAGTTTTCCTTGTATGTAGGGTGGAATGCAGTATGATCCAGTGGATGCTGAAGTGAATGAAAAATTTATCACTAGTTGTATCCATACATTTTGGCTTTGGTGTACCTCTTTTCTGCTTTTGATCTTTTAAAATTGCCTCAGAAAATAACAAATAGGAAGAGATACACAGACATCTTTTCCTCCAAGGCAACAATCTGGAAGAACTGTTGTATGTCTGGCAGAGAACGTCAGTCTTCCCTACCAGATACTCTGGATAAATTGGGCCACCTAGAGGTAACAACAAATGTATATACGACAGGGCAGCCAAGGTGCCACAGTTCTACTGAGCACACTGTACCTCCAACTTCGTGCAGCCTTGCTGGCAAGACACCACCCTTCCTGGGCTCTAGTCCTCCAGCCTTCTGTGATAAAGTCACGCTTTTATGTCACAATGGGTTTGCTTGGCTTCAGCATCTCTCTTTGTGGCTCCTCCAGCAGGTCTAAATGAGTTTAAATCCCTTTTGGGAGCAGTACAACCAACAGATGTCTCACACTGACATAGGATAGCCTTTTCAAAACAAGCCAGCATTTATTACTCAACCGGAATGTAAAATGTTATGGTCTTTAGGTTATAATAGAAGAGGAAAGCTTCCATGCGTGTCCATGTTGGCAGCATTGCATGTCCCCCTGCTTTGCAAAGCCAGGATTTAATTTCTTGCACTCGCTCTGCCCTTACTTAATACTGCTTGCTTACGTTTCTGGCCTTAATATTACTTGCATGTCAGGCTCAGGTGAGCGTGAAAGAAATCCCTCCAAGTGCCATGACAGTGGCAGCAGTCGTTATCCCGAAAGTGCAGTAGGAAAGGTTCAGAGCTACACACACATTATCATGGGACTGACAGATTACCTTGTCAGCACTCTCTGGTAATTCTTCATGAGTATATTTGTACCTTGGGAGAAACATTTCAGGTAGCGTGGCCTTTGCTGACTGTTGACAGGTAAGAGTGTGCACATAGACAGTCCTTAGTGGCTAGCAGTAACTAGCTCGTGTGTGGTGGCTTTTTATTGCCTGATAAACTTCCCATGCATCTCCTGGCTTTTGTGTGTGTGCGTTATGTGCAACTCTTTCACACTGACATAAATACGCTTGCCTAGCAATTCCAGAAAAATTCTTTTTTACTGTATTTCAACCTTCTAGATAACATGTTCTTTCCTTTGGATGGAGGTCATTTGGTGGTACCATCTGGTTATTGGCCATCCATCATGTCTCCAGCCAGCTCCATTCATATACTGCCAGATATTATCATGCATAATGGTGTTAATAATGGATATCAGTCCTTCCATCCTGTTGCTTGTCCCCAGCATCTTTTCAGTCATAATAGTAGGTCCATGTTGTCCACTCCTAGGAAACAGTGATAGTCACCTGAAACCTATGCGTTTTGGAAGTAGACTGAAAAGCTGATATGGGCAATTAAAAGCTTTTTTTAAAATTTTCACAAGGCAAGGAAACACAAAAGTGGAATGTAATACTTACCTTTGTAATAGTTTGAGTTGATTTGATTTCATTAGGTGAAGAGGCTGATGCTGAGATGTGTTACATTCAGAATGGGATGCCTGTCTATTCTGGCCACATATGAATCTACACAAATGGCCATTTCCGGACAGAGTTTACCCCAGATAGTCAAATTCAGATTATTTGTCTCTTGACATCTGAGAGACCTTATGTTAAAAGGTTTTTTTTATATGCTAAATATTTCATGTGGGTTTAAGATGCAAGGGGAAAATAATAAATTGTGGATCTGTTTTTCTAGTTAAACAAAAGCTGCCTCTGAAACTAGATTTCATTCTAGTCTTCCACTCCCTCCTTACACCCATTTTTTGCAAATTTCCTTGACTTTAAGTTTTGTACCTTCAGGAAAGGATCCTGATTTTACAGTCTTAATTCACAAAGCAGAGAAGAAACTGTTCTTGTAGCACTTGTTGATTACACTTGCCTCTGTGGAAGGATTTTTAAAAAGGCAAAGGTGTTCCCTCATAGTTTGTAAACCTGCTATTTTCTTTGATTCTGAGCAAATGGCTGGTAGTGATGTATATGGATTTGCAAAACCCTCACGGTCAAAGCTTGTAAGGCTAGAATTTTTCTGATGGTAGCCTAAAATGACAGGCAAATTGAACTTTCTTTGGAAGTGCTTTTGTTTTGGATTATCAGTGTGTCACTGAAAGCTCAGTTCTCTTATAGTTAAATATTCCCCTGAGTTACAATTGGGTCTATTCAAAACAAAGTATTTATTGATCTGGTCAACGCTATAAATGTATTTGGGATTAAAAAAAAAGTGTGTTCAAGTGATTTCATCCATTCATTTTAAAAGGAGCAGATGTTTTTTATCTTAACGTTTACTCCATATTTTCTAGGACATGATTTATTGCAAGGAACTACTTAAACTGACTTTTTTAGTTAACTAAATATTGGTACCATATGTGAATGCTAGCACATCATAATTAATTGCAAATGGTGACCCTTTTGTTGACCTCAATTTTCCAGCATGCATACACATAATTGAATCAAACTGTTCCAGCAAGTAGCAATAAATAAATATGACCAGCTAACATACTTATTTCCAATACTTGCATGTGATAGTATTACTTTTTTCTTTTTTTAATTGAAAATTGGACTGGTTTGAATTACCTGCTAGAATTCAGAATATCAAATAAGGGCAAAAAGATGGAGTTCAGCAAATCACTCCTTTGGCCTTCAAAAAAGGCCATTCCTATGCAGTAGGCAAGCATAAACCTGGCATACATAAACGTTTAGCTATCTTCCTGACATTTGTAAACTCATTAAGAGTGCACTCAGGTTGTAGAGATTTGGTATATAGTAACACTTCAACCATTTAGACAGCATTTAGGAGTTCTTCGTTATTGAGTACGTTCTGAAAACTCTGTAAGTTTATTAGCTACAGAATTCTGTGATAATGGTATCTATTCTGTATTCTCACGCTTTTTATTTATGTGGGTAAATTTAGGCCATTTGAAATCAAACGTACTTCTTTATATTAAGTAGAGCCTGAGGCTTATGAAGTTATTTAGGCTCCAGACTCTTACCTGAGTGCACGCACTCCGCTTGAAGCCTGAAGAGCTCTAGAAGCTTAAATGACTTTGGGAATTGGGTTGGATGTGCCTGTGACGAAACTTCTTCAAAAATTATATCTCTGATTGCGAATTAGTGTTAAACACAGTCTTTGGGACTGAGGTCAAAAGCAAATTGCTGTAGCTCTTTGTATGATGCGGGTTACTCCTCCCTCTTCAGTAATTCAGGTTTTGCTGGCTGTCATGAAGGTAAATTTCTAACTCGTCACCTTCAAAGGGTAATGTAATACAGGCACAGTCCCCCATGTCCTTCCATCTCCGTCGTAGTGGAAAGCACACTGATGTGGCTACTCGAATGAACCATGGGAGCTGTTCTTGTCTCCTGGAATGGTTACCTTGCCTTTTGTTTTAGTATGTTAGCAGTTCGGGGTTGGGGTTTTTAATCTGTTAATGTTACTGGGTTTTTTCTCTTTTAAGCTACGAAATAAAAGCCGCTAAAGACCTGGAACGGTACAACAGAGAGGTCAAGAAAGCTGTGGGACAGACAACGCACCGACCAGCAAAGGAGGCAGAAAAACAGAAAGCCAAGCTGAAGTCTTCCCCATCCGACCAGCAGAAGCTTGACAAGATATTTCATGCTCAAATGGAAAAGAAGCGGAAACCTGAACAGCCTACAAAAATTGTGACAGTGCCTTTTTCTCTGAGTTCCTGTAGACATCAGCTTCAGAGACACGAGAAGAGCGATTCAGAAGAACATGAGCTTTTCCTGATCCGTCGTCAGAGTTTTCCTGATGTCTGGATATTTGCTACTGAAAAAAAGCTAATGTTCCTGAATCCATATAGATTGGAAGAAGCCCTGCTACGTAAAAGGTTACTGATGAATCATAAGCTTCCAGTAGAGAAACTGGACAACCCAATTGTGTTAACAGACAGGTATAGTAGAATTAAGCAAAAATTTGTATGTTGTTTCAAGTATCATTTGATAATTATTTACAGTAAACTCTGGTAAGGCCTTGTTTGGTAATTCTGTGATTATTTGTACATTTGTTTATCTGTAAGAACAGATTTTTATGTTTTGTGTACTTTAACCTTATAGTAATGAGCATGCCTGGTCATACTCCAGTTGAAATAAGTATGAATTTTGACCAGTTTGATTGGTAGTGCAGCAAAGACAAATTTCTTTCCCCGGATGAAAATTAAATGCTCCATAATTCCATGACTTCACTGCAGCTAACTTGCCCCCATGTATTAGGCAATGGCCGATGTAATTATTATCTATGCCTAAACCTGACCACTCTTTAAGATATGCGAATGGTTGTGATTTTGTTTCTTTAAACAAATTGCTTTTTCAGAATTAAAAAAAAACTTATTTTAAAAAATCTTACTCGCTTCTCCTCACTTACTACTTTTTTCTGTATTTTTCTGACACTTCTGATTTTCACATTAAGGATTTTGTTTTTTTTTTCCCAGTCTTATTGGTGGATCTCAGTATATGGCTGCTCTTTGTAAAATGCAGAAGGATTACCAGAGTTTCAGTGGATCAGGTTATTTGTCAGATCCAAGGCTTGTAGCAAATGGATTCCAGATAAAAGTGATAGAAGGTATGATGGTTTTAAAATCTTTTAGTCATATTTGGGCTTGTTTCTTCTGATTTAATGATTTAAATGATTGTTAATGTAGATCATGTTATTCTACATCACCTTATTGTTTATAGCACTAACATCCTGCTTTCCTTAACAGTGGGATTTTATTACTTGGCAAAGAATGTCATCTTCTCCATAGAACACTGAGTAATGGAAACTGATAACTGAACAGAAAACTTTAATAATATTTCAAAGAATGCACTGAAATCCACATTTTCATGACTTTTGGTTTTTTTTCTTCTGAAGATGCTGGATATCGATATCCTTAATTGCCATTCTGACAGAATTTAGATTAAACTGACGAGAATTCCTTAGTCCTGGCAGGTTTTTCCAAGGTGGTACTTGCAGAAGCTTCTGTGAGTATGTGTTTTAGCTGACAACTCCTCTGCTGTCGCGGAGGTTCAGTAAGGAGCTGCATCTGGTTATTGACTTACTTTCACGTCGGGGTTATAACACGGAGCCCAAAGGGGCTGGTAAAGAAGAGGGTGAGAGGATCACCATCGCACCTTTTGATAGAGTTTGAGCTGAACTGTTTTTGAGACAGCTTACTTTTGAATGCTTCTACATTGATCCCAGGATAAATCTGTTTCATCTAAGATCCTTTTACCTTAGCAAGAGAGATCAAATGTTTATACTTTTTTCTGAAGAACGATTTATAGGGATGCTGTTGGAGACCCAGGGACAACTCACCCAGGGTCAGTTCTGCGGATCAGGATTTCTCCAGCAGAATTCCAAGAAAAGCACACGTCTTTGGGGGTAGTACCTAGCTGACAGCACTATAAGAGCTGTTAGAAATGCTATAGCTTCGTGTGTTACAGATCCCCACATATGTACAGTGATGACAGATCTACTGTAACATATGGGATCTTTTAAGGGTAGTTACAAAAAAGGGATGTAGAGCAGCTCCTTCACGCAGAGGCTGGCTCTTGGGAAGAACAGAGCCAAAGCTGTTTTCAGAATCATGCATGGCAAAAACAAGGAAGCTTCCTTCTGACTGTCTAAATCCCTGCATGAATAGAAAAAACTTTGTAGAAGAGGTGTTCGTGGTAATAATCTTAGATTGAATGATTAGGGGAATAAAGAGCATATTGTAAAAGGCAGCTCTTAAAAGGTTTATTCAGTCTAGCAAATCAAAAGCTGAGGAGGTCTATCATATGTCTCTACACAAATATGGGAGAAAGATTGTTTCTTAGCCTTTTTGCTCATGTACCTTGGTTTTTTTCCCACCTCCTCATATTGTAAATTTGCTCAAAGTCTAATTAATGTAAACTGGATATGAAGAAATGGAATGTGAAGATTTGAAGACAGTTTCTAGGCAACAATAGAAGGGAGTTGTTGACCGATCTTGTGGTACTGGAGATGGGGAACTAGTTTAAAGATAACCTGACTAATTTAAGAGCGGAATTGTACAATAGAACAGCAAGGGACTCAACACAGTAAGCAGGAAGTAGTAACCGTTTTCCAATCCTGCGTTCCCAAGTGTGTAACATTAAGGAGATGGAATCTTGTGAGGAAGCTGTTCATACCTGGTTTACAGTTAGTGAAAGTAGAAGTGCTGTATATGCACTATACAGGCTGACGAATTGTGGTCATGGACTTGATCAGTACCATACGCCTAGCCCATGTAAAGAATGGCAAACTCAGTTCTTTGTCCCAGTCTTAAACTACTTGAATGAAACGTTAATAACATCTGAGGCTTGTCAGTCATGTTTATAAGCTTCTGCTGATGACATTATAGCAGTTGCAGCCTCTGTTATTAAAAGAGCATACCACTGCAAATGAAGGTAGAAATACCAGCAAACAAATGGAATTTCTCCCAGCCTTTTTTCAGCTGACCCAGGCATTTTTACTTAAAACTTCATCAGTCCCTCCTTTTTCTTTTTTTCTGAAATTCATCCCTTATATATGCTATCTTCTACAAATATGCTACTGTCTTCTACAAATACTTATTAAAGCTGATTTTTAGAAACATGGGTATTAATTATTAACAGTCCTTACGTGTCCTTCTCTGGGGAATTTCACTATGCAGTTTGAGGTTCTTTAATTTATAGATTCTTGCTGTATAATCTTTACAGAAAGTGACCCTGCAGACCAGGAATGATTTGTCCCACTTACGCCTGAGTATTCTATAGGATATCTCAACTTTCAGAGAAGCTTGTCCCATATAACATTCTTCATTATCCTTATAGAAGCATTTTCTTAGCTTGCTGTCCGAATTCAGTGTCTATTTTTGTGGGTTTTGTGAAACTCAGACACAGCCTGAAAGGGGGGCATTCAGGTGTTGTTGAGCTAGAAGTTGCCTCAGAAAAGTTTTGTTTCTTCTACAATATATTGTTAATTTTTTTGGGACAGGGTTTCCCACTTTGTATGGCGGATGATAAAGTCACAGCTTGCTGTGGAGAGGTGTCCTGAATGCAAACGTGCACTTAACCCACGGCAGCTGGAGAGTTTCGCCTTAGCAGCATCCATAGGAGCACACCTGAACCCCGTTCTCTGTGCACTTGCCTTTAGAACTCATTTTTTCCTGACTTTATGGTGAGTTGGATCAGTTGTAGTATTTGCTGTTTCTCAGCTGAACTATCAACTCTTCCTCAGTGTCAAGGTCCACTGTAGTATATTTGAAGGTCTATACTTTCTGCCGGGACTTCAACCCTGACATGGTCACATTGTCCCTTTCTGACTGCTGGTTGATTACTTACTAATAGCCACTAGTGCATGGCTTTCTTTTCATCCTGGGTTAAGACTTTTATTTTCTGTAACAGAAAACTTCATTTTTCTGACAGACACATCCTCTTTTATGTCACGAGCAAAGGTTCCATTTCCTTAGCTTTGAATTTGAATGCGAAAGTGCCATTTCTGGTAATTTCTTGCAAAATAACAAGCCTTTCTCTTGATCCTTGTGGGTAAGTCTGTGATGCCATTTGTGGCTCTAAGATACCTTCCAAAGCACGAACAAAGGAAACTTAGCTGCACCAATTCGACGTTTGGTAGTTTTGGCCACAGAAGAAGAGGCTTTCCTTGACCCGTGGTGCTCTCTGAAGAGGACTGTCGGTCTAGTAGGTTGAACTGATCATTTGTCTAAATCTTCACATGTATTCTGCCATAGGAAAAGAGAGAGACCCTGAGTGTTGCTGCCACTTAGCATGTATGGTCTACTCATAATACTCAGATATTAGTTTGGAACGCAAGACCTCTTGCTTTGGTATTGGTCACCCCACTAGGACTGTTTCCTAGTATATATATCACTGTATACTTGAGTATAGGACCATAAATTCATTCCTTGTTTCCTCTTGGTGTGGGGCGTGTTGTACAGGACTGACTGACTGTTAAATAACAAGAAAATCTGAACAGCTGCCTTAATTTGGTAGGTAACTTTGGCAATTCCCTTGTTTCATTGGCTTTGCATCTCACCTGGTCTTAGTTAAAGATGCTTGTTTGCAGTTTAAATTCCTACCTCCTGCCAGCTTATGGCACAGATTTTGATTCTGGTGGTTTCTTACTTGGAAAATAACTCCTGTGTAGTATTGGTTTTTTCTTATTTGGATGACTTGTCTGGAAGGGGCAACTTCACTCATAGGATAGAAAAAAAAATAATTAATTAGTCCTGCACCAAATTTGGCAGGTCTTGGTGTTAATATTCAGAAATTGAATCTTACTCCCTCACAGTGCTTGGAATTTGTAGTACTACAACTATACTTTTTAATGGCCAAGACAAGAGCTTTTAGCTAGTGGGGTAGTTCTGAACTTTACTTGCTCTGATAACCTACCAGGAGTCTTTCTCACAGACGTAGCACGGACATGCCTCACTCTGAACCCTGCAGCACCATGTTACACCAGGCACACTACTCCTCGTAGGTTTTTGAAGGGTGTGATTTAGGCCTTTTCTTCCTAACAAGGACTGGGTTCCATATGGAGTTTTGTTCTGTCACTTTGGTGGGAAAACTGTTTGAGCTTTGGACAGTGTTTACATTTTTCACAAATGCAGCCTTTGGAAAGTTATTTTTACAAGAGCACGAGAGTTGCAGGCCTTACTTGCCTGTTGTTTCATTTGAGAAGTCTGTCCTTTGAATGCTTTCTTCTCGTGACAGGAAGGTAGTTTACCTTTACTCCATATTGTTCAAAGACTCGGTATGACTGCAGCCAAAGTTGTTCCAGGTATGCTAGATCTTAGATGTGCCCTGTCGTCTTGGTTTGGTAGACGAAGATCTTTTGTAATATATCCTTGTTTCTCTTTATATTGATTGCTCAGCAGTCTAAGGAGTCTTCAACCAGATTTTTCTCTGGATGGCTGACAGTGAAAAACATGTTGTGAAATAGCTCAGAAAAAGCTTCTTGCTGTAAGTATGTCAGTTAGGCAAAATCAATGGTTTCTTTGTGGAACGTGCCAGTTGTTGTGATTTGCAGAGCTGTGACGCTGAGCTCCAGTCTGTCTCCCACTGCCCTCCCGCCCCCTCATGTTCTGGCCTCACTGAGGCTTCGAGTGATGCTACCTTTGGGAGAGCAGTCTGTTTGCTTTTACTTAAGTCAGTATGCTGGGATCTGCCAGGCATTTGTTCGCTGGGTATAGCTTGCAATGACCCCTACATACAGAGAAGCATTTCAAGAAGTAAGATGGATTGCTTTCCATCCAGTTCTGCTTAAGATGTGTTTGTTTTATGTACCTTTGCTGCACATCTGTCAGTTTGCTTTCGTGAAAGTCCTGGAGAGAGATGTGGGTTCTTGGCTGGAAAGAAGAGAGCAAGGAACGTGGCTTACCTGTTTTTGTAACAATGGTGGGCTTGGGCCATGCTCCAAGGCAGGCTTTTAGGGTAGAATTGTCTGCCTGCTGGAATACGTGTACCCAACTTATATATACACACACAAAGAATGTGCTTACAAGGCCTCAAAGAGCAGTAACAGGTAAATAACCCAGCTTCCTTGGTAATATAAGCTGCCTCAGCTCTTATAACCGACCAGTGGAAAATCATGCTGCTACTTAATTTCAGTTGGAGCTTTGACCATAGACTGGAAGCTAGATAGTCTTATAGTGTCACCTAATCTGGGTCGCAGCTGGAAGAGAACAAATTTTCCTGGCCATCAAGAAGGAATTGTCCAAAGATGATTGTGAATGCTTTGTTTGGAAAGAGAAAAGGGAAATTTGTAGCGATGAGAAATCCACATTTTTAGTCAACTGAAAGCTAGCATATTTGTTCACCGAAATCTTTTCCTTGGAAGTTGCAAAGCATTTCATAGAAACTACCATGGAAACTGCTTGAACACTCAAAAATCTTAATGTATATTTTGTCAAAAATTTACAAGTGCACTGAGGCTTGGACGTCTGCTTATGTCATCAAATGTTGCCAATATCAGAATTCTTGCAAAGTCTTGCAGATAAATACATGTCAATCAGCATGCAGTGGGCTACTTCGCAGCCTAAAGAATGTAAGCAGAAAAAGAGAATGACACACGAACAGAAATACCGAAGAAGACGTGTTTTCCTCACCAGGATTTGTATTGTTTGTTCTTATGTTAGATTTTTTTTAAAGCCCCCTTTGACTTTCAAATGAACGAGCAGTATGGTGAAGTCAAATCTGGCAGTCAAAATTTGCAGACAGGAAAATTGCTATTGGTAGAACTGAAGAGTATCGTGCGTTAGCAGTCTCGTTAGCAAGCGTGTATGACAGGTTTACTGGATTTGCACAAAAAAAAAAATGTTTTGCAAATCCAGAACCTCACTGTCTGAACTTTTAAGAGGAAGCGGTGGAAATACAAGTTTTAAAACCGAAAATCATAACAAAATGTTGTGTCCCGTCTTCGGTAGCATATAGAGAGGTGATTGTTGAAAGGTTGTCAGATAGACTAAGTTCTCATTTGGAGAGAAAGCAGCGTAGTCGAATGGTCTGGAACAGTTACTCAAATCTACTCTTACTAAAGCAGAATTGGGATAAAAATGGACAGAAGAGTTGAAGGAGATTAAAAACAGACTTGATCTTTTGCTCATGTCTCTTACTGGCAGCCTTTCCCATGAGGAAGATATTGGCCTATTACATTATCTCACCTTTAATAAAGCGAATTTTCAGATAGTTTAATGTTTTGCTTTAAGATGAATCTGATTACAGGCTTACAGTGGTACATTTAAAGTATGTCTGTTTTTGCTGGCCATGATTAAGGAAAGATGGCTTGCAAAAAGAGGAAGACAATGCTGGGTGAAAAGGAAATAAAGTTTCAGATTTAAAGCAAGGTTAAACATGTAGCTGGAAGGAGGTTATGTGATTTGTTTGAGGGTGAAGGGGCTGTATCAAATACCAACTCTGATCAACGCATCTCTTGCCATGAAACTTAAAAAGGCCCAACAACATTATTTACCTGGTGACGCACCCATATTTAGAAGAACTTTCAGCAAGCATGGTCCTCCTGTTCATCTGTGCTCTTGTTTAATGACGGTCAAATGAACAGTGCTGCGTGACGGGTAACAGTCTCACTCTACATTGTGGTGGTGAACATTGCATATATATTTTCTCTGACCTCTGAAATCTTTCACGTTGTTGTTTGGATACGGAACATGAATGATCCCTTATCACAGTTGCTTAAATTTAATCCACTTGTAGCAATCTATTTGTCTCCGGCTTTTTTGACTTTGCAAAAACCATTCATGGCTGAGGCTGAATTTAATTTATCCTGCCTGGGGCCATTACACAAGAGTGGATTTATTTTCACCATAAATTGTATTCTTTTGTGCTCTCCTTGTGAAGCTCTTGACTTCTTAGACTTGTAGTGGAGGAAAAAGGAAGGGAGCTGTGCAGGCTGAGCTGAGATTTCTGTGCACCCAGCGTGAATGAGAGGAGGAGCTGTGCAGGACTGCACGAGGATATGTGAGCCTGAGCCCTAGAGAGCTTGCTATGACTGGAAGAAAAGTTAGCTGTGCAGTAGCAGCTTCATTCAAATTTTTTGCAAGTAGTGTGAATAAAAAGCAAAATCTCTTGCACGTCAGAGACTGAATAGATGTTTTGCTGGGAAGGTTGCTTAAATGTTTGACTTGTTCCTGTTCGGAGTGGTACCTGCTGCAGCAGTGATACCGTGTGAATGATAGTATGAAGTCTGTCACAGAGCCTTTAGCTATATGGGCTTGAGTTCTTCCTCTGCTGTGGCAGGCAAAAAATCCTGCTTTTTATTCCAGTAGAAACTGAATTTGTGATGATAACACTTGAAACTAAATTGTATTTTATTTCTAGCTTCTACTTTAATTTCATGTATGTTTAATTAAATCAATAGGAGCTTCAATTAAAGCTATGCTCAAGACTGGGAATGCTGCAAAATGTTTAAGCATTTAAACAGTGCCAGCTTGGATTTGAATTAAAATAAGCGGAGACGTGTGTGATGTGAATAGGCACACATCACCATAATGAAACATTGGACAAATAAATGCTCTGCACTCCAAGGGAGGAGCAAAAAAAGTTTCCTAATTGTATTGAATTTGTGAGGCTAATTTACCAAGTGATTTTACATCAGTTTAATTTTCTCTGGATCACTCCAGGACAGAAATAAAAGCAGTGTATAAATTACTGTTTCGGTTTTGTATTTTCAGGTGCTTCAGCTACGGAAAGTCATCTGGAAATAGAGGGGATGGCAAATTGTCTGCCATATTATGGTATTTCTGATTTGAAGGAAATTCTGAATGCGGTAGTTAATGGAAATGCAAAGGAAGTATATGAATGCAGGCCTCTCAAAGTGGTAAATTACTTGGAGGTAAGACAGAAGTTTGCTTTTAAATATTGGCCAGCTAAGCTTATAATAAATCCTTAAGCAGATTGAAAATGTTTCTTCAGTTTTCTGCTGTAATTAACATAGCTCTCTTCTAAACAGAAGTTACTTTTGAAAAGGAGAATGTCATATCCTCTCTGAGGTGTATGGGTTCTGCATGGCTTATCAAAGTATTTTTATCAGACATATCCGAAACCAGCCGCCCAGTGTGATACAGTACATGCTGAAAGCTGATGTTCACAAAGTGTTTCTGTATAGGCAGTTCTCAAACTAGGAAGGCGTTTCTCTGTTAGAACAGAGAACTGCCGTAAAAGTGCTTTACAATGTCTAGAAGGTGGTTGAATCCAGAACAGTCATCAAGATTTAAGTCCTTTATAAATAAATCTATGAAGAAGTTACAAAACTATTAAAGGTAACAGTTTATGAAAAGTAGGCGTTAATAGAAGCTTAGTTCTCATGTAAACCTCAATGAGATGTGAAAATCAGAAAGTGCACCACTTCCACTTGAAGAAGAAAAAAATCCAATGATTCATCAAAGAAAGGGCAGAGAGAGACAAACAGAAACTTATTTGCCAGCAAAGCAAGCTGGAATGAAGACATTGAAGTAAAAACTTAAGTCTCTCACACGGTGAACCCTGTATGCCTCCGCAAATGCATGTCTTTAGTTAACGTCAGTAACGTCTGCAGTTAAAGGGAGCACAGACCTACAGCCAGCAGAGTCTTGTACCATTCAGTGCAATAGTGACCAAGTTCTGCAGTGCACAGAGAGGAAACCATGTGCTCTTCACAAGCAGTCAGCATTATTAGTTGCCAGAAATACAGTATTTGAGTAAAAGGATCTTTAATCTGTTTTCTTACAGAAGTTATTATGCAACAGTTGGAACTGGGATGACTCTTGTTAATATTTGTTATGCACATAGATAAAGTCGTCCATCCAGAGACAATAATGGGCATGAAGTTCCAGAAACAACTAATCTATGTGATACTAGTTAAAGCTGGAGTAACTAACAAAAGTAGTTTTCTGTCATTTCTTGTCTAGATGTTTCACTAATGCTATCTTTAGTCCCAGCTCTGAAGACCTCTGTTCAAACAGGTTACCAAAATATGTCAAGTCTCTTCTTCCTTAAGCATTGGCTGACATGCTTTCCTCAGTCGGGCTGCTTCAAAATGGGACCTAGGCATTTACACAGAATATGTGTTTTATCTTTTAAACGTTTATTATAGAAATCTTTCCCTGTCTTTTTGGGGCAGTAAGTTTACAGCTTACAGTTTGGAGCTAGTGATTCTGTTGCGTACTACTGAACTATTCTTGTGCGCTGATGAAAGAAGCTTAAAGAAGGGATGAGTGAAGTGTTGAGACAGGAATGGTTTGCAACTTGGTTTGGAGGCAGAAGCTGTGTTTCCTCTGCTTACAAATACCCATCAGTCAGACTGGGTGGGATGGAGTTGGCTTATATACATAGAGAGAGATACACAGACACACACCCCCAACGTGTGTATCTGTATACAGGTATGTATGGATATGTACACACACATACATGTAAAGGTATTTATCAAGAGATTGTCAAAGGAAGGCTTACTAAGAGCAATGTTCATCCGCTGAAGAACTGTTAGAAATAAGATGCATGTGCAGCAGTAACAGGAGCTGGAAAACGCATATTAACTAGGAATTGTATGGCTTGCTGTCAAGCAAAAAAAAAAAAACAACCTGTAAAAGTAAGCACTGAGTTTTCTGATCATTCTGGGGGGTAAGCACTGGAAACACCATTCACTCATTCACTGTCATGTTTTAGAATTGCAGCTTATGGTGGGAGTTTGATGTTTGAGCAGGCAGCATGTCTGCAGCTTTTGCTGTCTTTTGGTAGACCCAGAAGACAGAGTAGGGTAAGGGCTAAAGAAGCAGCCCTCCGAGGTAGAGAACAGTCCGCAGTGATCTTTCTTCCACTTGGAAGAGTGGGAAAAAATACCAGACAAACAAAAGGGGAATAGTCAGATTCAAACGCTGTGAACGCTGCTTCAGGTTTGTGCGATGTAAAGGGAGATTGGGTGCCACTTCCGTTTCTGTCTATGCAACCTAACTAAAGCGCAGAAGAGAAGGCAATGGCAGGAAGGCCCCTACTGGAGGAGGAAGCAAAAAACCCAAGCGCTTCTTTATGAAATTATTTGATTCTTTGAGGGTGGGTGCTTCAGTAATAGTGTTTAGCAGTCACTTCTGCTTTCTAGTATTGTGAGATAACTGGATGCAACAGACACAGTTAATACAGCATCAATCTAAAATTTCACTATAGTATGTTTAAAACTTTGTTTAGCTGACTGTTGGACTTCATTTACGTTAGTTCTAAAGTTTGTGGTGTAGAATGTGTCTCTTGAACTGGTAAACATCTTCAGCTGATGCTAGTGCCAGCAGGAAATAAGATATTCAGAAACACAGAGCATCTTGCAAAAGTGGACCCTGAAAGAAAACGAGTGCAGACATGACGAGGAGACTGGCTGTGTGTGACTCCAGTGTAGAAGTGTCATGAAATGACCAATACGATATGTTCAGAGTTACATTTGGGTTTCTGGGATTGGAATATTTATCAACAGAAAAGAGAAGAATGACCTTGAAACAGTGAGTGCTTAATTTCTGCTTTCTGGTAGCCCCAGGTCAATGTGTTAAAAAGCGGCACTTTAAAACTGTTGGGGTTTTGTTTTTGTTTTTGCTTTCCACAGGGAGAAGCAGTACGTTTAGCTCGGCAGCTGCCCTTACATTTGTCAAAAGAAGATGTACAAAACACAATTTACAGGATGAAGCAACAGCTTGGAAAGGAAAATAAAGGCTGTGTTCATGGTCGTCCTTTTTTTCATCACTTAACAGATATTCCAGAAGTTGACAAGCACAACTCCACGGAAATTATTCAGTAAATGGAACATTTTGTTTGGGATCATATTTCTCTTGCTTAATTTTGATCATTACTCTGTAATTTCAGCATGTTTTGTGCAAAATTTTTGTATAATGACTTTTCATTATCCTATGTTCACCTCCTAGAGACTTTTTTTTATTTAAATTCATATGCTACTTGAAAACTAGAAATAAATACTGTAGAGAAATAACTTGTTGCTATTTTTTTAAAGATTTTTATTAAAGAAATGTTCTCAACTGGTTTGACGCTTTTCTTATTGCTGCAGGTTTAGAAAATACAGTACGTCAAAATTTTTCAGGTGCAAAGTGGTCAGAAGTTGCTTTCAACAGAGGCTGGCAAAGTTTATTTTACCAAGGACATGAGATGTTAGTTTTCAGAGGAATGCCAGATAGCTGTAGGTATTTAAAAGTGGCATTGCCATAGGCAGTTGTTATAGTTACAGTTTTGTGGTGGTAAAAAAAAAAGTACAGTACACTCTTAAAACTTTAGATCAACAAAAACCGGCCGGTGACTTGAGAGATGAAAGGATCAGAGTCACAGGAGCAGAGGCTGGCGCTGAAAGCAGATGCCAGTACATGTCTGTTGGTGCAACGCTATGCTTGGGGGTGGGAGACATAAACTCTCGTCGTTCAAGGAGAATGTGGCATAACTAGGCCAGAGTCTGCTGTGTGGAGAGTTACTGGTTCTCTTTATACCACAACACAGTGTTTGCTCTTCTGTTTCAAGTAGTAGCACGCTTCTGTGAAGCTATCCGATGATGCCTTCTGTGCATAGCAGGTGCAGTGTCTCTGGAAGAGCATGTTTTAGAACTTCTAGGAAAGATCAGCTGAAAATTGCCGTCCAGCTCCGGTTCTTCTGTGTTCAGCAAATCTTGGCACTGTGGAAGCGTGGTGGTAAGACCTAGCTTTGTGGTGTTTCCGTGGCTGCTAGGTAAATGGTTGAAGGTTGCTGAAGGACCTGAGTGCAAGCTGGGTACTATCGGACCAGGCAAGCAAATGCACACACAATCCAAAAGTGTAAATTACTGACCTGTTGCTCTGTATCAAACAGTGCTGAACTGGTGAACCAAGTGAAGAAATCACATTGCAGCACTACATGACAGCATATAAATTCTAAACTCCGAGGTAATGATTATGTTTTTGTGCTGTTATAGTAAGTTTATGCTTTTTATATGGAAGAGAGGTTTATAACTTCAAACTAGAGAAAGGAAAAACAAGAACAGAAAACACCAACTGAGCTCTGTAGCAGTCATTTGAAATCACAGTGCTCATTTTAAGCAGCCACCCCCATGAATTATGGTCTGTTTGCCTCAGAGTAGCTCTGTTAGTCTTACCTAGAATTAATGTGTGTGCATTTGGAGTGGACTGCTGGGGGGGTGCTCTTGACAGCGAGCTGGGAGTCCCTTGTGCCCCCACATCGGTGAAAGGCAGGCGGAACTCGAGGGTCGGGTCGGTTCGGCAGCAGGCGCCTGGACGATGGACGCACGTGGGCTTCTGCTCCACTCGCAGTGCGTGCTGGCTTCTGCCCAGGAGGCACACAGGGGAAGGTGTAGGGACAAAGTGCAAATGCAAAGGAAAGTTGTGTTTGATACGTGGCAGAATGGTGCAAAGGCCTCAGCTAAGACAAGATGTAGCAGCGCGTGCATCCTTTGCAGCTGCAAAGGAGCAGGAGCACAAGTGAGCACAGCCGGTGCCGGTGCCCACCTCTGCCAGGCACGTGTGCAAGGTCAGACTGGGAACAGCTGAAGGATGTTAAGGGAATGCTGTGTGATGGCCGTTGAGTGTAAACTGGGAAGGAGAGGGCTTTTTCTGGAGGAGAAGAAAGTTTGATACCTACTGCCATACTGAGGGAGTCTTCAGACGTAGCCGTGAGTAAAATACCTTTCTGGTAGTGGGCACCGAAGGAGGGTGGGCAGCACTGGGACTGGTGGGGGAAAAGAGCAGGAA